ATATCGTGTTGATATGACAGTTTCTATTTAACGGATGTGGTCAAAAACGTAACTAACTTACCTGGGAGCTAACTACCCATTATTAAATCTTCAAAACAAATATTTCTATAAATTTGGGTTGTTATAATTCTTTTTTATGGCTTCTCTCAAATAATTTGTATTTTCGTTTCGGAAAATTATGTTACTTAGTTTGGTCTCGTGTATCCCGATACTACCATAAGAGTATGTATCATCATGATCATCATCATCATCAACAACCTATAAGTAACCATTGCTGACAAAAGGCCTCTTCCCACACAGAAAAGGTTTGGGCGTTATAAACCACGCTTGCTCAATGTGGGTTGGGTTGGTAGGAGTAAGTATAGAAAAAAGCAATATTTATAATGAAAACACAGGCACATACCCCAACATAGAAATAAAATACAAATTGATCGCGATTTAGAAGAAAGAGTAACTAGCATTGAGGATTTAATGTCTAAAGTTTACACTGATATCGTTGAAATAGAAAAATTAAAAGTATACTAATAATTTTGCTAAATGTCGTGGTGGCCCGGAGGTTTAAGACGCCCACTTCTCATGCATGAGGGCACCCTCATGCATGAGAAGTGGGCGTCTCCCGTGGCGTGGTTCGAAACCTACCAACGGCAAGTACCAATGTGACTTTTTCCGAGTTATATGTACTTTCTAAGATTATTCAGACACCACTGACAAACGGTGAAGGAAAAACATCGTGAGGAAACCTGAACTTATAATTTCTAATTATAAGTTTGAAATTGCCAACCCGCATTGAGCAAGCGTGGTGATTAATGCTCTAACCTTCTCCGTGTGAGAAGAGGCTTTGCTCAGCAGTGGGCATTTATAGGCTGTTGATGTATGATGTAATAATTTTGCTTACAAATCTAAAACGTTCAAATTTCTATATCGGGACATGACTTCTAGTCGTCTTTTTTCACAAAAACCTGAACATTGCAATAGTTTTGGCAGGTCCAGCAGTTGCGATTTAAGACTTTCTAATGAACACAAAAACTTCAAATTTGAGTCGCCAAGGTAGTTATAACGCTTTTTTAGATGTCGTGGTATTAAATAGCATGTTTTAAAGAAGTCAATGAAATCCATGCTCTTTATCCTAAACATTTTTTGGGCGTTGCCAAACTTCCAATTCGAGCGCTTGGTCGTTTACTTTTCTGCGAACTAACTGAACTTTGGCCTGTTGCCCCACGCTAACAAAGCACTAGTCCTCTATTGTTTAAGTATTAGTAGCTACAAGTGGTAATATTTTCAATGAGTTCTTAGATATTTTCTTTGTGAGTGATTATTATTGTGTCGACACAAACATTTAACGATAGTTTTTGGTTAAATAAATCGTATAACAATTGTAATCAAATTCATTTATAATAACTACGCTCTAATTCCAGACATCACTTATCGTCTATAGTTTGTCATATTAAGTATCGAGCACACTTCTAGTGAAACACTTCATTAGTGCTTGACTCACTGTCGTACTAGACACATAATTTCTGCCAGTGATATTTAAATAGCATGACAAGATGTTCAAAGAAACTGAAATGGACTCAGATGGATATCACAAACGATATCGATGATAGTCCCAGTGATGGTGACGCTAAGTGTAAAGTTATACCTCGAAGATTTGGATATAGTCCTGGAAAAGTAGCCGGTGATAGATTTAGACGTGGCCGCATTCGGAACATACCGCGTGCAAGGAATGGTGATATAACAAAAACTACAAAACACTCAGCGAGACATGTTACCAACGCGTAGAAATTTATGAACAACACGGGTAATAAGTTTGGTAAACTGAATCGAAGAATCGTCGTCCCAACCTTCAAAGCTGATCCTCCTGAACTATTGACACCAACAGCAATAGGTCAGATAAATGAAGAAACTACAATCATGGATAGTGGCAACAGTGGCTGCAGCCTGTTTCAGCTCCTCTGTGGGCGAGCTGGTCAAGTGCGTCCTATGTCACGGCAACGACTGACAAATTACACGAAGAAAATAGAAATACGTGTGAAGAGTGAAAAACTGCTTTGTGACTTAGAGCAGTTTAAACTACAATGATGGCAGGAGCTGAACTAAGTCGTGAAAAGCATCGCATATGATTCGTCGACAAACATTAGTTTATATGACAGTTTCTATATAACAGATGTAGTCAAATACGTTACGAACTTATTGGGAGCTACCTTCCCAACATTAAACCTTCAAAACAAAATTTCAATACTTTAGTTTGGTATACGAGACCGGAGTTTAATTGCCTTGTCGCCACCGTACCGTACACGAAACGTCATCGTGCATACATGCGATAAGTCACGTAGGTCGCAAACGATGACTTAGCTGAAGTAAAACTTGAATCAACCGCACCGAGAATCGTGTCTGCTTGGTTGGGTCTTCGACAAAGCACGATACGAAGTACAACATAAAATTGAGTAACATTTCAATATCTGGAACTTAGAGGTACTAAGGTGTATAATCCTTTGGCAGTGTAGGGGCGCACTGAAAGAAAACGTCTTACAGCCCTGGAAGACGAGTCTTTAGACGATTAAGACGTGGGCGCTTGGGGGACAACAGGTGTGCAAGTGGTAATGAATTGTGGTATTTCTAAAACACTTAGCGAGCGATGTTAGCAGCGCATGGAAACTTAATAACATCAATCAAATCTTAGAAATGTTATCTCAATCATCAGAATAATGTGAATTGCATCTTAAAAGTTTTTATAAATAATAAGATGGATCAAGCTACATCAGACCATCCAGAGATATGCTTAATTATCTCCAAAGTATTGGAGTCACCAAACGAACACATATTTACGGTACCAGCACTGCCACCAATCGAGAAATGGGAGACAATAATAAATAAACAGGAGTCAAGCTGGTGAGAAATCCCGTAGTGCTACTACTAGTACCTGTGGTGAAGGGCGGCTTAAATACAAAGAATATCGTCGAAAGTGTCCCAAGAAACTGCAGGAAGATTTCCTAGCTTACATTAAAGCGAGGCGTACTCAGAGTTAAAACTCTATTTTAGATACGATCTACGGATCTATCGTAAAACAAAAGGCCCTTTTCAGGGCCACAATATGAGACGTCACTGTTTCTATGTAACAGATGTAGTCAAAACCGTAACCGGCTTATTGGGGGTTAACCAAATCAAATGAGCAAAAAAGAGAGCAAGAAACAAATATTAAAATGTGTTATTTTAGTATTCCCACGGCTGGTGATACTGATTTTAGCCAGTAACCGGAAAACTACCACATGCATTATGATCTCAGTGACTCACCTCACTCCAATATTTACATTTGTCAAAGTTACCATGTACAACACCAGCAGTGAGATCAGTAAAACTGGAAAACCTGGACACGGCTGTGGAAATGGTAGCAAGGATCAAAGTACAAAAGACTTAATAATAGCATGCTCACGATACCTGTATCACCCGTAGCGACAGGCCGTGTTGAACGTTCAGAGTGGCACTTCAAATCGGAGGACATAGGCAGTATAATGGAGTGAAGTATAGCATCTTCTAAAGACACAATGATTTGATCACAAGCCACAATGGATAAAATAATAGTGGCATACTTAGAGGAAAAGAAAAGAGAAAACGAAGAACAACGTACTCAAGGTCAAGCTAAACCCTGGATTTAGAACATCAAGCCGTTCACGCGATGTATCGCATATTAAATCAAAAGGCCCTTTTCAGGGCCACAATATAATTCGTCGTTATATTATATGACAGTTTCTATTTCACAGACATAGTCTAAAACGTAACCAACTCACCTGCGGGCTGACTACTTCTACTCAAAAATGTAAGAAACCGAGTTTTGTTATTTTATTGTGTTGTTATTTTCATTTGTGAGCTACGAATTCGATCCTATAAATAATTAAAGTAAAATTTCATTTCGAAGAATTATATTAAGGTTATAATTATTTTACACAAATCCGTGTGATCCCTCCGACGCCTGCCTCCCCCAACACATTACACACAACTTTATATAAGTCAACATAAGGTCCTTTATAAAATGAACAAGTTTATGAACAAGTAAACAAGTATCTCTGTAACGAGTAGCACATTTTTAGGAGCAAGAGGTCAATCGATACAAATCTCCTGAATTTAGTGTACTACATCTCATTAGTTTGGATCGGGGACATCAGCTAGATTACTTTGACTTCCTTCCGGAAGGCCTTTGATAGGATAAATAACGACACACTGCTAGATAAGCTCTGAATGCTCTGGTTCGTAGTAAGTTGGAAACCAGCTCGTGTGTGTGGAATCCTCACGAAAATACCTACATATATACATACTCTTAGAGAAGGTTCAAAAAGCTTTCCTTAGGAATTTGTACAAGTGAATGCACGGTTACTATCTTTACCTCTATCCGACAAAATTTTTATTGGATAGTCTTAGGTATAACTCGCTAGAGGTAAGGAGAGCCAGAAATCAACCTGTAAAACCCTCATTAAATTAAAAACCAAAATTTTAAATTAATGATGTTGAATTAATAAATTAACATCATTTTATTTATTCATTCAACTTTACTTCAGCTAAGTAATCGTATGCGGCTTACGTGGTCAGAGAGCAGAGTCGACATGTCGAATTCTTTTACTAATGTTGTTAATTGTCAATGAAATAATTACTTTTATTACTATATATACTGTCCATCTCTGAATTGTAATAACTTAGCTATAGAGGCGGTCATTACCAACTACCATAACCACGATACTACTGAAAAATTAAAATTATAACAAACTAAACTAAGAATTAATAATAGGTAGTTAACCCCCAATAAGCTGAATACATTTTTGATTACATCTATTACATAGAAACTGTGACGAATCATATTGTGGCCCTGAAAAGGGCCTTTTGTTTTGCTATGTAGCTGTAGATCAGATGCTCGTTACCAGCGTGTGGGTACATTCACACGCTGGCCGGCGTATATTTTCAAGGTCTGCACATTCTCAGGCCATCCCAGAATTATTCCCTTGCGTGATAGCTCAGCGAGCAGGCGACTTCAGGAACATGGCCGGCTCCATCGCCTCCGGTTGCTCTTTGAAGTATGGGTGCTCTAAAGCAGCTGCTGCTGTTGTTCTTTTTGCAGGATCATAGATTAAAAGATCTTGCAATAAATATAGCCCGTCTTCAGACAACAGATTGCGACTTATCTTTTTACGCAACCCGCCCGGTGGATAGTCGTTGAACACAATGTTTCTTACCATTGGTAATGCGCTGTAACCGGGCCAAATCGTGTCTGAAGGCGTTCCCAGATCCACAAATATTTTGATTATCTGATCCAACTCACATCTGCCGGGAAATAGTGGCCGCAAGGTTATTAGTTCATCGAATATACATCCAACACTCCACATGTCGACAGTAGCGGAGTATTCTTTCGAAAGCAGCAGCAGTTCAGGCGCACGGTACCATCGCGTAACTACGTCTGGCGTATATTGCCGAGGGGAGAATTCATATTCTCGGGCCATCCCAAAATCTGCCACTTTTAATACACCTTCGTTTGATAATAATATATTGTGGGTTTTGAGATCGCGATGTATCATGTGATGGTTGTGTAGATGTTGTACAGCGCTTAGCAGTTGCGTCATTAGGCATTTCACGTGTTCGACTGAAAACATTTGCTTGTTTTCTTTCATTGTCTCCATAAAAGTTTTTAAGTCGTAATCAACGAGCTCCATGACTATAAACACATGCTCGTTTCCGGAACTCGACGCTATTCCTCGGCCTGCGACGATGTTGGGATGCCGCATCTTCAGCAGTATTCCAAGCTCTCTCCGAGCGGCGATAGAGAATCCTTCCGTTTCGTTTATTTTTTTAAGCTGTTTGAGGGCTACCAATTCCCCCGTCCGTCTGTCCTTGGCTCCATGGATAGTTCCAAATGATCCTTCATCAATTCTGTAGAGATATTGGAACTCGTCTACAGATCGACAACTCTGGAACGCTGGGTGGAAGGGCTAATCAGCATCAATGATTTCGTGCTGTTCGTCGTTGTTCCTCTTCGATGTCTTGTGTTTGTGATTATTTTTTTCTCTCCGTATTTTGTTCTTGTATATTCTGTCGTTCGCTGCCTTTTTCAAACCACATTTATCCTTTTGTGATTTCCGAAGTGGAACTCCAACTGACGTAGTCAAATTGTTTATGGAAGCCATGGCTTAGAAGTTCTTAACAATCTTCACAATGTGTAGTCGCTGTATGCAGTCTAAACTGTAAGTCTGGACGTTCTTAAAGATCCTCCCTTATATAGTCCAGAGCCCTGAGCATTTCTTTTGTTTCTGTCACAGGTTTCGATAAATATTTTCAATACTTGTCGTATTATCAGATAAAGATAGTATTACAATAGGCCAACGTCTAATAACAAAGAACTATTTCTTTAGAAGGTGGTAATTAAGACACCAAATAATAGTTTTTCCCACGCATCTGAAGAGACTTTGTGGCACTATAAAAGCTATTGTTTATTTTCTTAGAATTTTATTTATTTATAACTTATGTTATCATTAAAATATTTTGTGGTACAAAAAATATTATTTCCTCGTTTCTCTTCACTCGCATCATTTAAGTTGTTTGATTAAGGGATTGCATAGTAAAACCAATATGTTTATAAAAAATATGACACAATGTATTTGACTTTGTAGCTTTGACTGAAACTTTTTTAAATAGTTCCATATGTAATGGTGAACTGTCTTCATCAAACTATGTAGTAGTACGCAAAGACCGTTTGGGTGACTCTGGATGGGGGAGAGTGCTCTTAGTACCTAATGGCTTGGTACGCGACGATGGCAAGAGACCCGACGGCATGTCATTATTCCCTTGGAAGATGGGTAGGCCTTTGGTATGAGACGCCACTTGCGTTGATACTCTGGCGCCATCTCATCTACCAAACTCAACTTGTCGAGCCGGTGCTGCCGCTGCTGCTGCCATGAACCTAAAACGGCGAAAGTATAATAGCCTGATTGGCAATTATGCTTTCGAACCGTTTGGGGTTAAATCTTTAGGGCCGTGGGGCCCAAGTGCGCAGCTTCTTTACAAAGATATTATAAGGAGGATGGTTGAAACTTCTGGTGATCGAACAGCTGGCTACTACCTTGGGCAAAGCTTAAGCATTGCCATTCAACGTGACAATGCTGCCAGTCTTTTGGGTACCCTACCTCACGATAGCGATGAGGAGTTTTCTTATTGATGCCTTAAAATAGCATTTTTATTATAATTACTTTTTTTAAGGTGTAAATATTTTAGTTGTTAGTTATTTATATTTTAAGTTGTATATATTAATTTAATTTAAATTCTTATTAACAAAACGTACTATGTTATTTATAAAGATATAAAATAAATAAAAGACAACATAAATTAACGATTTACAGATAAATAAATATAATCTAATGCGAACTTCTGTGTTATAGTTATACGTCTAATGTGTTGCGTGTAAGATGCATATTTTTATGAATATTTCTCTTTTACAATATGCACTCTTAAAGTGCGAAACAAACTTTAACAAAAATGTCTGTTGGGTCGAGTTGTTTATAATGAAGGGTCTAAAATAATAGAAAGTAATTAAGAAATAAAATTACAACAAACTAAAATAAGGAAAGTTTGTTTCAAAGATTTAATAATAGTAAGTCCCTAGGTGAGTTAAGTACGTTTTGACCTCTGCTGATAAATATAAACTGTCATATAAACTAATGTTTATCGACGAATCATGTTTTGGCCCTGAAAAGGACCTTTTGTCTTCAGATTGCGGATGCACTTGGAATTCTCCATGCAACTCCTCTGCAATGGACGAAGGGTGCTCTCCACGACCTGCATCATGCACCACCTTCATTAGCTACTTACGCCAATTAATTCTATTTTATGCTCCTCGCCGTGGGTGGGGCATTAGAGGCGTGGCTTTTGCAGCATTGGGTGCTACTGAATTCCCCTTTGACTGGGGAGTTGGTTTAGTCGGTACGGCAGAGGTATGCCGTGTTCCACGTCCTACTTCAGCTCCTCCATTGCTAGGGCCAGCATTTCCAACATGGGACGCAATGTGGCTATTACTTTCATTTGCTATTAGTTGCATGGCCCCTTCATACGCCATGTCAACTTCGTTTTGCATGTCCGTTTTGCGTTTAGATCGACCTTTCCTTCTGTTGACACCATCTTCATCAAGGATCCTTAAAAGATCCATTGCTCCTTCATATGCCATGTCTAATTCCTTCAGTCTTTCTCCGCTGGGAAACAGAAGTAAAGGATTAGAATTAGCATTTGTGGTACGGCATTTGTGGTTCACTTTTGGTACGGCATTCGTCATTTTTCCATTCGATGTTTTGCTTTTAGTGACACCCTTCAAATGGTTCTTTACTTCAGATGTATTTCTGCGTCCTTCCGTGCGGCTATTTTTTATTCTATCCCGGTTTTCTCTCGAGATGCCAGAATTTCCATTTTCCTTCAATTGATGTCCAGTACCCTTGTTAGACATGATGATGTTTCGCAATGATTTTAATGTAATATAATATTTGTAAGTAATGGTCGACGAGCGACAGACGACTGTTCGTGTCAACGACTAGTCAAGCAATGTCTCTTCGGCAACTACGATTCAACAAAGCTAAACATTGGTGTAAGGAGAGCTACCTGCCACAGATAATGCGTGGTAATTTCCAACTTACTCACAACCCGCCGTGGGACCCATAAAATAACACGTGTCATTCCTTTATTATTTTTAGTATTAATAGTCTTGCATTATCTTAATAATTAATATACCATCGCGCCTTTTATCGCCGAAGGCATTAGAAGAGGTGCACATTACGGCACATAATGCCACAGTACAATGTAACACTCATTTTTCACTATTAATGTGACGAGTATCTTAGTAATTAGTAAGTAACTAGCAATTACTCAATGAAAAGTAAAAATTGAATTGTGGAGAATAGGTATCGATCAGCAGCAGATAGGTACTTAAGTAGTTAATTAATTATCTTTAGGTAACGAGCTTAAAATGACTCAGTTTATGAAATTAGTGATTAAGGACAACATTGCGAGGAAACTTGCGCTTTTAATTTCTTATTAAATCCAACAAATTTCTAATATAAAATTAGTTAATTATTTCATTTAGAATATTAATTTAGCTTTAACCGACTTCAAAAACTGAGTTTCTCAAATTGTCCTATATGTATGTTTGTGCGCGATTATCTCGCGATTGGGTGAACCGATTTTGATGCAGTTTTCAGAAAAGTGTTTGGTACACTTAGGAAAACATTTTAGTGTATTAATATACCGACTTCGACAAAAGAGGGGTTCGTAGTCGTTTATTTTAAACGAAGTGTATAATAGAATTATGAAGTTGTATAATAGTGTTCTATTATTTTAGTTTAAGTAAAGTGCATTTATTGTTATGAATTAAGTACATACTTAAGAATAAGTAACAAAAGAAGTAAATTCATGTTCTTGTTCTGACTACTGAATTTTCTGTAGAAAAAAATACCATAAAAACAAAGAGAATCTTGTTTAAGTAACACAAAACAATAATTTCTTTCGCATTGTCAAGCTTCAAACTCGTATACGTTTTCGAAGCATCCACTGATAAGACTTTGGTCTAGTGTCCCACGCTAACAAAGCACTAGTCCTCTATTGTTTAAGTATTCAAAGTTATATGTTTTCTATTATAAGTGTAATTATTGTGACCACACACACATATTGTTATATTTTCGATGAATTTCTCGAAACCTTATCAACAGATCTACAGAGGACGAACGTTTTGAGGGAAAAATCATTTACGATCTTCAACAAGGTTCCTAAACTCCTATTGATACTGACCGGTATACGGTTCATCAGGTAAAATTTGCGATACCGCCAAAATTACCGGGTTTAGAATTATATATGTTTCAAATATATGTAAAAATAAAACCCAAACAGTCACGGTTTCCATTCTATTTATTTTGAATTTAAAATATACATGTTATTAATAATACATACCTACTTAATTTGTTTTTGGAGTTCCATAATACATTATGGAGACAGAACACTGAAAAAATCAGTTTATACTGGCAGAGAATCAAATCGCATCGAATCGTATGTAAATATAATAATTAACATAACTAATTCAACCTTATCTTCACAGCGTAATACACAAGATTATTTGAAGATAAAAACTTTCTAAGACTATTTAGTCACTACTGACACGAAACTTGTCTTTTTCTTTATATAAACGTTTTCTTCTAGTATACTTAATATTAGGTATATTAATTTACTTCTATATTAATTCATAAACGCATATTTCGGTGCTTATTTGAGTTATAAATATGTATATAGACTTTTTAATATAATAAAATATTAATGACAATTTTCAATAAACTACGTTCAATAGAAGCGACTTTAACCTCGTATATTGTCCACAATTTGATTAGTTACAAAGTATCTAATTACACTATAAGCTACTAGGACGGTTATAATTAAAAATATCATTATTATCAAAAGTAAAAAAACTCAGGTTCTGAATACCATCAATTCTTCAAGAAAAGTGTGAATTTCTTCTTAAAAGGCCGTCAACCTGTTACTCCTCTGGTATAGTAGGTGTCCATGAGCGACGTTGATCGCTTACCATCAGGTGATCCGTTCGGTCGTTTGACTCCTACTCCATAAAAAAACCTCTCGTTGATTTTAAAACATTTTTCCCCTAAAGGTACAGGCACATGCTCCCATAATCATTGCAATAAATCACCCATTTTTCACCGTGTTATGACAACCATGTAATAGTGGATGAGCCAGCAATAATTATACAGCTATATGTACGTTCTAAGATTATTTAGACACCACCACTGACAAACAATGAAAAAAAAATCAAGACGAGACGTGGACTTGCTAATTCTAACCATAAGTTTGAAGTCGCCAACCCACATTGAGCAAGCGTGGTGATTAATGCTCAAACCGCAAGAGAAGAGGCCTTTGCTCAGCAGTGGCCACTTATTTATTGATTTCAATTTATATTTCTCATAGAGGCTGTTGATAATGATAGGAGGTGCCATTAAAAACATATTTAGAATAGCAAAGCTCTCTAATGCCACGTGAAAACGCAATGGCATAATAACAAATAAGCTGTAGCGACGACTAAATGTCCTATCATGACTGGGAAGCCAATTTTGAAGAACTGCATGAAAGTAATTTTATATCCATGTTGTTCTGCCAATCCGACGCACACCACGTTTGAACTGGCACCGATTAGGGTACCGTTACCTGTGTGGAGAACAAAATATAAATATCAAAAATCTTATCAAGAGCCTATACACGATTGAAATTAACAACCTATCTAACTATATCAAACATTCCAGAGATATTGAAGATTGGTTTTCGAAAAAATCAATTCAATAGAACTATGTTATGAGACGAGCCTACCACAACATTTAAAACCACTGCAACTCCTGTATACCAGGATTTACATTGGACACAACCGTACAAACACCGAAACACTGAAGTTCGGTGCGTTCCTGGGACATGATTTCGCCAGCAAACTGTTGAACAGTTTGGCGATTCTTAGTAAGAAGTTAAATGAATGTATCTATAAGTTAATAAATGTTTAATAATGAACTTGTCTCGGATCCTCAATAGAACTAATGCCCAGAATTTAACCAATTGATTGGTGGTAGATAACTTTTGAGGGCAAACCCATATTGAAGTATTCCATGGCTCAACTTTTGAATACAGAGATTTCGGATCAATCGTGAGCGACGCATTCCCCAGTTATAAAGTTGTATAAAAACTCGCCTCCTAAACAGACGCCGAAGGATAACGCCCATATAAGCGGTTCCATGGGCAGGTTAAGCGTAGGATGGGTGCCCAATGACGTCACAACTCGAACCATCATTGTAGTCAGAGGTACGTTGTCCACAAACGCTGATGTTATACCAGATACCTGCGGGAGAATAAAAACCTTTATAACTGACAACACCAAGAGCCGACCAAGGGACTAACACAGAGACTGAACAGCAATATTCTCTGATAAACCCAAAACTTTTTATGTTACGATCTTCAACCAATTTGTCAAGAGTGAAGATTTTGGCAAACTACTTTTTTGTTAAAGGAGCTCCACAGTCCAGCGGTGGACTCACATACTACTGATGATAATTTTACACAATAGAGCCAGGCGTCATATTGGAGAAGTTCATACTACAGGAAACAATATCTAGTTTTAACTTCGCTACGATATCACGTAGCAGTAGCTACGAAATTTCGTAGTATGCGCTACGAACTTCCATAGCAAGTGCTGCGAACATCCGTAGCAAGTATTAGATGATGATTCTTAACTTACCCAGACCATTATGATAAGGGCTACAGCCAATCGATCACTTTCATCTACTCGAAGTATAAGAGCTTCTGTCCAGCCTCCGATGTAGCCAATCAGACCTAATTTGGACAAAGCCTGAAACAATGAAGTTGGTTAAAGAGATATAAAACTTATATTAGTTTTTTTTTAACAATTATGTAAAACCGTTAAATGGAATCCATGGGAGTCTTCAGAGTCCGAGTAAAAAGGTTATTTATAGGTAGGCGTACTCTATGGTAAGCCGCATCATCGCTAACCACCAGGCGTGACAGTAGTCAGACAATGCCGCAAACCAAAGATGGACCTCATTTGCCTATATGAACTTGACTTAACATTGAGACTTGTTTGTAGACACCCAAGATGTATCCTTCTGGATAATAGACAGACTTAGCAGTTCACAGCAGGAAACTCGTGTAAACATCAATAGTTGTATACCTCCATAAGCACAAAGAGCGCGGCGAAGAAAAGCAGAGTCGACCACTCGATCCTGTGCAGCACCGGCTCCAGATCCTCGCGGTCTGCCAAAGTCAGCAGCAGCAGCGCGCCCAGCAACGCCGTCCAACCCAGGGACACTCGATCTAGGTAAGGATGCCAAGTCATAATGAAACTATCAGCCAGGATACATCTACTACTAAGCAAAGAACTTCTTCTTATGAGAAGGTTCGCCGTAATCCCCATGCTTCTTTATGAGAGGGAAAAATCATACAATGACTTCTCCTACTAATTTGGGTGAGGCGATAGACATTGTCAGACTCCTACTGACCAAACTCTGCCCCGTTCCTACACCCGCTAGATCGTCCGCAGCTCCGGGAATCGGCTCGTATCAGCGCTACTGACTGTAGGAATCTACATTTTTGACAAAGCACCTAATTTTACTGGCGGACAGAATGACGGAAAATTTCTTTACTTGAATTCATTTCGAATAATCCATGTAGACATTTCTGTCTTTGCTCTCTCTGCAGTTTTTCCCTTAGTCATGCTTTGCCTTTATCCAAGCCGTTGGCTTCAAGATCACAGTTATATAATGGGAAGTTTACAGTTTGTAGCGGCGAAGATTCTAGCTTGGTTTTTCCATTGGCAAACAACACGTTTTGAAATAATCCTAGCCTAAAAGAAACCTAGCTTCACCTCTAGTTTGTTTGCCTGACCCCTATTTAAAAAATGTTTGTACCGAGATTTGCTACACTAGTTTTATTATATGGACGGAGCATAAGAACAAAATATAGGTATTTCGGTTCCGACAACGGTAATAAATATTTACATTTATTTAACTTTTCAAAATGTCATACTATAAATATCATACATATCAAGACACTGTAAGGACATATATTAATAAAATAAATATACCTACAGCAATCTAATTCTCGGAAGTAAACTTATTTTAAAATAGTTTTAAAGACAATAGTCAAAACAATAAAAGGGCTACTTTTGACATGCATTGTTTTATAGTTCCCACGGTGGTACTACCCATGATCCTTTGTCACAGTGGGTATATAAATGAAATCATAGTTGTTAGTCTGTTATTGCTGTCCAGTCAGTAGCTGAGTGTGTATCACAGTAACTTCGACTGTCCCTGGTGCAAGTATCAACTAACTGCAAAACATGAATTACGAAATGGAAATGGTTTTCGACAACATCTTGAAGGATACCGAGAACACGCGCAGTGGTGGTGGCGTTGGACGTAAATTCGTCCCAACTAGAAAGCCTGGATGCAGTTTTGGAGTACGCGCCGGTGATCGGTTCAGACGTGGCTGCGTGAGGAACATGTTGCGTACAAGAGCTCTCAATGGTCGAACTAAAGCTGGTCTGTTCAAGGACTCTTGTTATTTGGTGCAAGACAGTGCCATTTCATCAACCACTACCAGTCCTATAAAACCCACGATAATCTCTGGTAGTTCTACTCGAATCTGTTGAGGAGTTTAAGTAGTTCACATAGAGAGTCCTGAGCAAGCACATGAAGCACTTCTTGCACATATCAGAGAAGTGCGTGCGAAGAGCAAAACGCTCCTTCATGATGTTAAGCAGTTTAGGTATGACCTAAGGATTTATCCGTTTTGATAGTGAAGGAGAAAGAATACAAAAGGCCCTTTTCAGGGCCACAATATAATTCGTCGACAAACATTAGTTTATATGACAGTTTCTATTTAACAGATGTGGTCAAAAACGTAACCAACTTACCATGGAGCTAACTAACAATTATTAATTCTTCGAAACAAACATTTTTATATTTTAGTTTCTTATAATGTTTAATTGTGGCCTACTCTCAAATATTTGTTTTTTCCTATTGAAGAATTATGTTATGTAGTTAGGACCCGTGTATCCTGATACTACTACAAGACTATATAATCATCATTATCAACTACCTATAAGTAGCCTCTGGTGACCAAAAACCTCTTCCCACACGGCTTCGGGCATTATAACACCACGCCTGCTCAATGTGGGTTGGATTGGTAAAAGTATGTATAGGAAAATATTAATATTTATAAGTAAATACAGGCTCTCAACATCCAAATAAAATAAAAATTGATCGAGAAAGAGTAACTATCATTAAGGATTTAATATCTAAAGTTTACACTGACATCGTTGATATAGAAAATAGGGATCATCAATGAATGTGTCAAAGGGCAATATTGATGGCGAAAAATAGTAGTGTTGACGAAATAAACGACCTTATTTTAGCCAAACTTCCAGTTAGGGATTGCAATCCAGCGGCGTTTTCAATCCAGCGAATTTTTTGCTGGATTGACCTGAATCCAGCTGGATCCAGCGCGGATCCAGCAAAACGTAACGAAAATAAAAAGGCGGCCAAGCCAAGGCCAAGGAAAGCCAAGCCATCGTTCATCTCTGTCTCTAAGTCTTCATCGTCTTCGCATTCATCACTTTCATCTGTTGCGGCTTGTTCTACTTCCTTATGAGGTTTCTTCTTATATATAACTATGAGGTACTATAGTACGTCCACCACAGCCAACTGGATACCATGAGCGTAGCATAATTGTTGATAACAAGGCAAAAGTTTTCCAACTTTTACCATTACGGAGGCGCCATCGGTAGTGATACCAATGATATCGGTTTCCATCATTAAGCCGAAAATATTCAGCCTTTCCGACAATAATTCAATGCAGTGTTCGGCAGTGCAGGAGCCATGAATTCTTATCAACCCTAAATTGAAATGTTTATCATCATGGTGCAAGTTGAGATTTATGTATCTATGATTTTTTTGGGAGGTCCACTCGTCAAAACTCAATGAGAATCTTTGTCCTTTTTGCTTTAAATTAGTGAATTGATTTATAAAATAAACAAACATAAGCGATACAGTTGGCAAGGAGGAAAGGGGGCGAGCGGCGTTGCCTTTCATGCGGCACGTGCTATGGTGACAGAACGGCAACGTTGCCGCGCCGATTCGAAAATGGCGTCAACTCAAAACTAAACAATAGAAATTGATACATTTGCGGATCCGCATCGCTGGATTGCTATATGCTGGATCCAGCAATTGCAATCCCTACTTCCAGTAGATATAGTTAACTACACATCTATTGATAATATGTAATGGTTCAAAGTAGATGCGGTCGATTACCTACTAGAGGTTCTTAACTCTTCAAGCCCGAGTGGCCTTCCTATGTGTAACGGGTTCTCCGCTTTAGTCTCCAGTATTCCCGTGATGAGGACATCGTTCAATAGGAGTTCCTGATCGCGCTCATTCAACTGAAGCTTCAGCTCGGAAATTGTTGCTTCAAGATGCCCGGGCCACACAGGCCCGGTGATATGCACCCGGACATTTACTACATCGGATACTTACTGCAGCTAGGAACTGACCACATTCACCAAACTTTACCATAATTAGACTTAATTAAGGTTTTTTTTGTTTTTACATTAACAGATTAGTATTATAGAGGTATAGGGTAGGATTAGCACAGACACACTGACACCGGCCGTAATATGTAAATTTTTTCTTATTTTTATAGTTTACTGACACTTATCCACAATAAATGATATTGTTTGAGGAATAAGCAATATTTATTCTTAATTAGAAAGAAGACTTATTATTCTATTCAATCGTTATGTATTTATTATAACTTTCCGAAACTGGAGTACATAAGATCCGGTTAGCTGTCACCGTCATCCGTGACGTCACTGAGACATGGCGTATAAAGGGGCCATGCAACTAATAGCAAATGGAAGTAATAGCCATATTGCGTCCCGTGTTGGAAATGCTGGCCCTAGCAATGGAGGAGCTGAAGTAGGACGTAGAACACGGCATACCTCTACCGTACCGACTAAACCAACTCCCCAGTCAATGGGGAATTTAGTAGCACCCAACGCTGCAAATGCCTCGCCTTTAATGCCCCACCCACGGCGAGGGGCATGAAATAGAATTGACGTAAGTATGAAGGCGGTGCATACTGTAGGTAAAAATAGGTGCCTTAATAATTTTCCTAATAAATTTAAAACCTCCAAATTTCTTTAACGGGACACGTCTTCAAGTCAATTATTTTCAAAACCTGATCATTGCTATAGTTTTGACTGGTCCACCAGTTAGTCAAACAGTTCTCATGCCTTGCATCCCACTGATTCCAAATGATTTCGGTACCTTTGTGATTTAAGACTTTTCGGTGACCTCAAAAGCTTTGAATGTGCGTCGCCAAAGTAATTTAAAATCGCAAAATTAAATACTATGTAGTAAAAAAGTCAAGGAATATGATCATTCCGGCGAAGACGTGGTCATATTTCCATTTACTTACTTTTAACTACGGAATTACCGTATTTTTTTATTATTTAATAGTGTGTGCGACGACAAGCAATGAAGACAATATAGGAATAATCTCTCTATAAAATATTATAAGCAGTAAGTAATTGGTAAACGTAATATAAAATATTTCTTTACCATATTCATTTTCTTGGCGTTGCCAAACTTCCAACTCGAGAGCCGATAGGCCGGTTGCCTTTCTGCGAACTACCTGATAAGATTTTGGTCTATTGTCCTACGCACCTCATATATTCTTTGTAAGTGATATAAGACAAACATTTTGCGATGACTGTTGAGGAAGCGAAAGAGGTATTTAAGAATCGTAGCAATTGGGGTTCCATTGCATATTCTTTGCCTACCCCTATGGGAGACAGGCGTAAGGTAATGTATGCATTTATATATGAATGTATGTTTGTATGTAACAATATATAGTAATCATATTCAATTATAAATCACTCTAATTCCACTAATCACATATTGTCTATAATTTATCCCATTAAGTAACGAGCACCATTATGACGATTTCAAGAAAACTAATTTTAACATATTTATTAATTATCCATCATTAGCTAATGGAGTACATTTTGCTATATAAAATAGAATCTAGTGAGACACTTCGTTAGTGCTTGACTCGATGTTGTACCAGATACTTCATTTCTACAAGTCACATTTAAATAGCAAGATGTTTGACGAAACTGAAATGGAATTAGATGGTACCACAAACTTTATCGAAGATAGTCCTAGTGATGGTGACGCTGAGCGTAACGTTACATCTGGAAGACTTGGAGACAGTCCTGTAAAAGTAGCCGGTGATAGATTTAGACGTGGCCGCATTCAGAACATACCGCGGGCAAGGAATGGTGGCATAACGAAACCTACAAAACACTCAGCGGGTCATGTTACCAACGCGTGGAAATTTATTAACAACACGGGTAATCATTTTGGTAAAGTAAATGGAAGAGACGTCGTCCCAACCTTCAGAGCTGATCCTGCTGAGCCAGTGACACCAGCCGCAATCAGTCAGATTGATAAAGAAAATACGATCATAGATAGTGGCAACAGCGGCTGCAACCTGCTTTATCTCCTCCATGGGCGAGCAGGTCAGGAAGTGCGTCCTATGTCGCGTGAAA